CGCCGGTTCGGGAACGCGCCCACCGGCGACGTCAAGTCGCCTATACCGCTAGATCCGTCTCTCATCTCGCCGGAACCGACCACGTCGGCATCGTTGATACCACCTTCGCTCTTCTTACCACGCAGTACGTCACCCGCTACAGGGCGACGCCCGAAGGCGGAGGAGCCTCCGCGACCTGCGCATTCCCCGAGCGACGCCGGCTTAGGGGCCATCTTAATCGATCGGATGACCAAGTGGGGTCTTTCCTTTGATGGAACAACGGATCCACTTGGATTCATAGAGCACAGCGAGGAGCGGAGATATCTGGCTCAAGCCCTGGTGGTGCTGCTGGCCGGCCGAGCCGAAAGTTGGTTCCGCACGAGCGGACTCCAGCAAGCCAGCTGGACCGAGTTCGCCGAGAGTTCCTTGACTTCTTCTTGCCACCGCGATACTATCAGCGGATGGAGGATGAGATTAGGATGCACTTCCAGAAGCCCAACGAGCCATTTAAGGAATACCTTATCGACATCCGTTTGCAGATGCGCCGGGCCGGATTCTCCTTGGACAAGGAACTGGAGAGGATCTATGAAAATATGCTGCCGGAGTATCAACTCTACACCCGGAGGCAGGATTTCCGTACGCTGACCGAGCTAACGCAGCTCGTGACCAACTACGAGGAGACACGCAGCCGAGGCGGAAGAACGCTCGAGAACCGGATCCCGACTCAACGCCAGGCCACAGGAGCCAGCTACGCAGAAGACGGAGACAGGATGCCCACTCGACGCACACAACAGGCGCCCTCTTCAGGCAACGCCCTCAACGGTTCCCTTAGCCGGAACGCTTGCACCAGTCAGAGCGCGGTATCACCACGACCGGAAGCCGTCAACGTTCGCGACGCCTGCCGGAATTGCGGACAATCCGGACACTTCGAAGCCGAATGCAGGAATCCACGGATCCTATTCTGTTGGGATTGCGGTCAACGAGGACGCAGGACGATCGACTGTTGCCGACAGCCACCGTCGGGAAACGCGCAAGGGCCTCGTGTGACCGGGAATCACCCGAGGAACCCTCCGTATCCCCGAAGTCAATAGGAGACACTCTCCATCAGTACCAGGGACGCATCCGCGCTACCATCCACATGGAGGGGCAGCGGTTCACAGCTACCCTGGACACCGGAGCCACCCATAGCTTCATTAGCGAAGGGCTGGCTCAAATGCTGGACAACGGAAGGAACACACGGGACATCCGTACCCAGGTAAAACTCGCCGACGGAACATGCCGCGAGCTGACCAGAGCTCTGGCGGCAAACATCTACCTCGGGAGCGAACGGACGCCCACCATTCTCCTCGTGATGTCGGACGCACTGGACGACATACTCCTAGGAATGGATTTCCTCTGTGGAATCGGAGCAACCCTGCTATGCGGCGGGCAAACCCTCCGACTGCGACCGAACGATCAGCGAAGAACAACAGCAGAGCCACGCTCTGATCAGCGAAGAACAACAACAGAGCCACGCTCTGACCAGCGTAGACCAACGACAGAGCCACGCTCTGACCAGCGAAGGGAGCCACGCTCCAACTCACGGGACCAGCCCGCAGAGCCACGCTCTGACCAGCGAAGGGAGTCACACTCCAACCACGAAGAGCCATCCATGGCACATCACTCAGAGCCACGCTCTGATCAACGAAGTACATCGACGGAGCCGCGCTCCACATCCGAAGAGCCGTCAACGGTACACCACTCAGAGCCACGCTCTGATCAGCGAAGCACATCAACGGAGCCACGCTCCACATCCGAAGAGCCACCAGGGGCACCTCATGCAGAGTCACACTCTGATCAGCGAAGGACGACACCGGAGTCACACTCCACCCACGCCGAGAAGCCACCGACGACAGCCCAAGGAGAGCCACGCTCTACCCATCGAGGGCAGCCAAGGGAGCCATGCTCCGAACTCGAAGACCAGCCAAGCACCTCACCTCGAGCACAGTTTCGAGACACAGCATCACCAGCGACGGAGAACCAGCCGCCCTGTTGGAGACAGGCTTTGCCCGTGGCAGATGCCACAGCCGCGCAACGGAATCCCTTCCGTACCTCCACAAAACGAGTCCGCTTCCAGGATCACGTCGAGGAAACGCCGGAGCCGAGCCCGCCCCTATGCGATACCGTCAATTCGATGAGTCATCCCACAGAGGATCAGGTCTCTTTCCAGACAGAGGAACCCGAGACGCCGGATTACCCCGAGCCTTGGGTGAAGGAGTTCCTGGACCAGGAACTGGCCAAATTTGATACCCTCTCAGGGGTATCACACATCGCAGAGCATCGCATCTTCATGCGCACCGACAGACCCCTTAAACAGCGATACTTTCCAAGGAATCCAGCCATGAGGGCCATCATTGACAAGCAGATCAATGAACTCCTCCGAGACGGGCGCATTGAACCTTCCAAAAGCCCGCACAGCGCGCCCATCGTAATCGCGGCCAAAAAGAATGGCGAAGTCCGCATGTGCGTGGACTATCGCCAACTCAACGAGAACTCCGTGCCAGACGCGTATCCGCTTCCTAGGATCCATCAGATCTTGGAGCGACTCCGGAACGCGAAATTCATTTCGACGTTGGACCTCAAAAATGGGTATTGGCAAATCCCAGTGGCCCCGGACAGCCGGGAGTGCACGGCGTTTACCGTTCCCGGAAGAGGGTTGTTTCATTGGAGAGCCATGCCTTTCGGACTTCACTCCGCCCCCGCCGCGTTTCAACGCGCCTTAGACACGGTCATCGGTCCGGATATGGAACCTCATGCGTTTGCATATCTGGATGAAATCATTGTCATCGGCTCCACACTGGAGGAGCATGTCGCCAATCTTGGAGAAGTCTTCAGATGCCTCCGCTGCGCAAACCTGCGCCTCAACAGAGGGAAGTGTCATTTCTTCCAGCGCCGCATCGTGTACTTGGGTCACATGATCAGCGAAGCCGGAATCCACACGGATACGGACAAGGTCGCTGCGATCCGTGGACTCGCACCGCCGACGAACCTGAAGGAGCTACGCAGGTGCCTGGGAATCGCTTCCTGGTATCGCCGCTTCGTGCCGAACTTGGCCGATGTTGTGGCACCCATGACATCGCTGCTGAAGAAGGGCCACAAGTGGGAATGGACCCAAAGACAAGACCAGGCCTTCCAGGAGCTGAAGACGCTGCTGACCGAAGCCCCTATTCTAGCTTGCCCAGATTTTGCAGAGAAGTTTGTGCTACAAACTGACGCCAGTGATTACGGAATCGGAGCCGTACTCACACAGACCATCGAGGGAAACGAGAGGGTGATAGCGTACGCCAGCCGCAGGCTCAACACAGCCGAGAGGAACTACTCGATGACTGAGAAGGAGTGCCTCGCCATCGTCTGGGCGATTCGGAAGATGCGGTGTTACATCGAGGGATACCGCTTCGAAGTCCTCACAGATCACCACTCCCCGAAGTGGTTGAACTCCATCGACAATCCAACAGGCAGGATTGCCCGCTGGGCATTGGAGTTACAACAGTATCAGTACGATGTCCATTACCGGAAGGGGGCCCAGAACTTAGTGGCCGATGCCCTTTCTCGCCAACCGCTGCCCATAGTGCAGCAAGCGGAGGTACAAGGAGTCAACTATAAGTGGTTCACGAGGATGCTCCAGAGGATTCGGACCGAACCAGCAAAATTCCCGGACTACCGAGAGGAGAATGGCCAGCTATATCGTCGCCTTGGACTCCGATCTGAGTACACGCCCTGGAACTTTGCGTAGGATCAGACTATCGCCAGCGAGTACTCGAAGAGTGCCACGATCACCCCACTGCCGGTCATTTAGGAGTCCGGAAAACCAGCACTCGCGTGACCCAGCGCTATTACTGGCCTCGATTGTTCCGCGAGGTGGCTCGGTACGTTCGCCGTTGTCCCACTTGTCAGCGATATAAGGTGAGCCAAGAAAAACCCGCGGGTCAAATGTTTACTCGACAGGTCGAGGAGCCGTTCCACATCCTTTGCGCAGATTTCGTCGGCCCGCTGCCGCGGTCGAAACAGGGCAATACGATGCTGCTAGTATTTCTGGACGCCTTCAGCAAGTGGGTGGAGCTAGTGCCGCTTCGCAAAGCTACCGCCACACATCTGGAACGAGCCTTCAGAGAGCGGATATTGAGCCGATTCGGTGTTCCCCGAACATTTGTCTGCGACAACGGTACGCAGTTCACCGGCCGCTCATTCCAGAAGTTCTGCCAGTCGCTAGGGATGGAGCTGCAGCACACGGCGCCCTACACTCCGAGGCAGAATCCCACGGAAAGGGCAAATCGAACGATCAAGACGATGATCGCCCAATACTTAGATGGAGGCCAGCAGAACGAGTGGGATCAACTCCTACCGGAGATATCCTTGGCCATAAATAGTAGTGTCTCGGACACTACCGGATTCAGCCCCGCATTCTTGGTACAAGGCCGAGAACCGCGACTCCCGAAGACGTTGTAAGACGAAGTTACCCCCGGACGAGGCACCCCAGAGGTTACCCCGACAGAGCGAAGCGAGCAACTCCGGAACATCTTCGACGTCGTCCGAAATAACACTGACCGCGCCGCCGCCGAGCAGAGCCGTCACTACAACCTACGCCGGAGGACGTGGAGACCACCAGTTGAATCCATGGTCCTAGTACGCCGACACGCCTTATCTAACGCAGCCGAGGGCTTTGCCGCGAAGTTAGCAGCGAAGTACGAAGGACCCTTCAGGGTAGCGAAGTTCCCGTCGCCGAACATCGTGCAACTGCACATGCCAGGAAGCCGACGCCGGCGGACCGCCAGCCTGAACCTGCTGAAGCCGTACCACCACGAGGATGAGGCAGACACCGAAGCCGGAACCCACCGGGAAGACACCGACGCCGGAGACACCACGATCGAAGAAGCCGACGACACCACTCTGGACGCACAGCCAGCAGCCAAGACCGCACGGCGCAAGGGACCCATCCCGCGCCGCCAACACTAGCGACGAGCACCCATGTAGGGAAGGCGACCATGTTTCACAGGGACCACTTGTTGACAGGCGCGCCTGTCCAACGTCCCGAACCCCCTAGTGGGGTGAACATGCGTCTCTTTCCAAAAAGCCGTAGCCGTAGCCAACCCTAGCCCACTCCATTAGGTAGGGCCCAGGGCCACTCACTAATACAATCTCTCTGTCCTTACAGCAGCAGTCCTCAGCCAGCCTACCAAGAGGCACAACGAGCCACGCTCCCCGCAGGCAAAGCACGCCTGACACCTGCATCTACGCAGAACCACTGCCACGTCTTCGCCAGACCACCGTCGCCACAAGGACGTTAACCGCCCAGACGATGGACGGACAAGGCCATCCGCCGACTCCCGCCCCGGCGGCACAGGACACCGCATGGATGTACTGTGCAGTGGACGAGCTCCTACAGGCGCTCCACGGCGCCGGCCCAAGCCAGCCGCGTCCCAGAGGCAGCCTCGTCGCCCATAGCGTCGGCCCCTTCCGGCCACGGGTTCTACCCGTCGAGGTCGTCACCATCGACGACGACAACATGGAGGAGGCGAACACCGGCAACCACACCGGGCCCCGTCGGCCCGCTACCGAGGGGATGCCACCATTGGCGTCCCAGCACACCAGCTCCATCGGGCCATCACTGCTCCCTCTGGAAGTCGCCCACCACCGTGGCGATGACGAGGAGGGAGTGGGCCACATCGACTACGCCGAACGGCCATCATCATCAAGAGGAATGCCACCCCTGGTACCCCTGCTCGCCGGCCTCATTGGGCCTCAACGGGCCCCTCTGGAAGTCATCCCCCGTGACGATGACGAGGAGGAGGCCCACCAGAGCGACGACGCTGGACTCCACCCAGCACCCTTAAGGGGCATGCCGCTCCAGGCACCCCTGCGCACCGGCCACATAGGGCCGCAGGCACCCCCTCCGGAAGTTGCCCCTACCAACGGCAATGACGAGGAGGAGGTGCCACCTGACAACCTCACGCCGCCCCAACGACGCGAGGCTCCATCCGGAGACCCCGCACCCGCCGCCGACGTCGAAGACGCCTGGAACCAAGCCTTCTCCCTGTCAGACGATTGGTTCAATTTCGACCGCCTGGTAGAGGACACCCTGGGCGACCTCTTCAGCACCATCGAGGACCCAGACGAAGCAGCCATAGGCCTGGACCAAAGGGGCCCACCACACACGGAGCCGCCGGCAACAGGCTCTCTCGGCCCTCTAGGCGCGAGGTACGACCTCGTCACCGATGACGAGGACGACAGCGTTGGCACCCGTCGGAGCTACAATCCGACCGGCGAGGGCGATGACGACAGCGACGCGACCGTCCTGTACAACCCCACCGCGGAGGACAGTCGCGACATCCGGAGGAGGCGCACCACACCGCCTCACACCAGCACCCGCCGAACCCCGCCATATATGGGTGAAGTGGAAGCCGCCCTGGTCGAGTGCTTCGGGGAAATCCCGGAAGGCCTCATTGATTGGGGGGGACACCGGCGACAACACGCCGTCAACCATCTCGGCCGACGAGGACGAGGTCAGCCGGGATAGCAGCCAGCTACACGCCTCGCGACCGTCATCCCCGAGTCAGACTCCGCCCCACGCCACCGGACCCACCGATGACGAGTCGGCATCGACCATCTCAGCCGACGAGGACGAGACCAGCCGGGACAGCGGCAGGGCCCATGGCTCCAGGTCGCCACCCCCGCGTTGGACTCCGCCCAGCGCCTCTCACGTCGGGGCTCCGTCCCTCCAAGGCTGGGCACCCTTCACCGCCAGCCGTGCCAGATCCCCTCCGCCCTCCTACGAGGAAATATTTGGCCTTGGACCATACAACGGTCCTCACACCACCGCCCGATGCGCCGCGGTGACCCCCAGCCGCGATCCTCGACCACGCCTACCCACCATTGCGGAGCTGGCCGCAGAGGAGGCACGCCGAAGAGCACAAGACCTCAGCGAGGAACTCGGCAACCCACCGGTTGCCCAACCGCCAACGAATGGCCCACCATCACCGACCCCGCGCCGCCGAGCACGACGCCGAAGCGCTCCCTGGGCAGACAGCCCGCCCAGCTCATCCGACGAATCATCGTTGGACACCGGCGAAGAGGCCACCAACCCTCCCCGCTGGGTACCGGCTCCAGCGGAGTGGACCACGCCCAACGGCACATTGCCAGCCGCCTTGCTCCGCCGGATTCAAGGGCGGCTGGCGACACCAAGGCGACGGTCGATCCGGATCCTGGAGGAGGAGGGAAACCAGCGTTTCCGAGTCCAGGTGAACCGGAGCGGAAGGGTTATCGTCACTCTTCAGCCCTCCCGAAGATAGGGTGGAGTGTGACGAAGTCACAAAACCCTATATATAAATCTATATATATAAAAATGGAGACAAAAAATGTTACTAATGGCATCACAAGAGAACGGCTGGGCCGATTTGGCTCAAATTTTTTCAGTTGTTTGTAATTGTCAGAAGAAGGTAAGAAGGTAAGAAAATTTTGGGAAGTCCTTCCGGAAAAGTCGCTAGCGGCTCAACAGATGGACACACTGTTGTATGTAAAATTCTGAAACACCCTACAAAGATCATAGCTGCGTTGAAATTATGTATCAATGAACTCAGTAAAAAAATATTTAAACAAAAAAATCGAGCTAACGAAGCATTACCAATTGGCTGTTAGACGATCAAGACTTGGACGGCGTTCACGCAATGCAATAAATATTCAGAATTCCCGTAATAGTCGGACGCAAGAGGAACGTACAGAAATAAATGTATCGATACGTGCCCAAATGGCACAGCTTCGCGTTCCACAAAGATCACCTCAAGCCCGACAAAATAATAGAGAAAGACGAGCCGCAAATGAAAACTTGAATCGCGCTGCATTCGCATACAATCCTGAAACATCCTACAAGGATCTTACCTGCGTTGTTATTGGTTCATTGTCTGTTGTATGTCAGCATTGCAATGCACTGAAGTTTCGGTTGGAAACCCCCGGCTTATGCTGTGCAGGTGGCAAAATTAAATTGCCCGTTTTGGCTCATCCACCAGGGCCATTGTATTCGCTACTATATAGAAATTCAGCCCAATCAAACAGTTTCCTAAAGCTTGCACAAAAATATAACGGATGCTTTCCAATTACGTCATTTGGAGTCGAGGTTTTTCATCAATCAGGCTACAATCCAAGTTATAAGGTAATGGCGTCTCTTTATTATCAAAATTAACAACTCACATTTTTTCGAAATTGCATTCCAACATTCAGATTCATGGGCAAATTCACCACCGAGCGGGCGCTTTGTTATCACCACAAAACAAAGATCTTAAATTCCTTCAGATCTATTTCATTGGTGATTCGGCAGTTGAACTAAATCACCGCTGTGCAATTTTTACTGAAACTTAACGTGAAATTATCGAACAATTGCAAAATCTTCTCTATGAGCATAATGAATTGGTCAGATTGTTCAAAACTGCATTGGATATAATGCATTATGACGAACACAAAATCATTATCAGCGCTGACAAAAGACCCACTGGTAGCCATGCAAGACAATTTAACGCTCCCACTATCAATAAACACGCAGTGGTGATTGTTGGCGAGAATGTGGAATAACGCGATATTGTTTTTAACCGTCGGGATAATGGCCAAGTGCAGCGAGTTTATAAGACTCATCGGTCACATGATGCTCTTCAATATCCGTTAATGTTCTGTCGTGGAGAAGATGGGTATCACTTCAACATAAAGATGGTCAATCCAACGACAGGTTTGTTTACAAGTCATCACTTCTTTTTGATTCTACAACTAAGTTTGAATTCAAATTCTAGGAGAAGAAACGAATAAGAAGGTCAACTCTATGAATTTTGATGCGTATCGATTGATGATTCGACTAGATGTTGACAATCATCTGTTCAGATACCACCGTTTGTTTCAACAGTATTATGTCGACATGTACGTCAATCTAAAAACGGAACGTCTCAATTTCATTCGTTTTAATCAGTCGAACTTGCGGTCAGACGAGTACATTCACTTGCGTGACGCCATCGCTACTGAAGGACACGCGGCCAACATCGGTTGTTTGACCAATCTCCCAGCCACTTATGTTGGAAGTCCGCGCCATATGCAAGGGCAAATTTAAAGGAGAGGTAGTTCTTATCCCACGAATTCCTATTATTCCAACAGATCTTCCATTCCAATTCAAGACGATTCAGTCCCCAGTTCGATTGGCATTTGCGATGACCATCAATAAATCGCTAGGCCAATCGTTGGAAGTCTGCGGGATAAATCTAGAATATCAATGTTTTTCACATGGCCAGCTATACGTAGCCTGTTTGCGTGTGGGAAAGCCGTCATCATTATTTATTTTTACACCGGATAACAAAACAAAAAATATTGTTTATCAGATCGCTCTCCACAGATTTCAAGTCAAAAAAATTTGTCAATCCAACGACAGGTTTGTTTAAAAGTCATCACTTCTTTTTGATTCTCAACTAATTTTGAATTCAAATTTTAGCTTAAAATTTTTAGGAGAAGATAGGAATAAGGTCAGCTCTATGAATTTTGATGCGTATCGATTGATGATGTTTCAACAGTACTGTTTCGACATGTACGTCAAAGTAGAAACGGAATGTCTCAATTTAATTTGTTTTAATCAGTCGAAGTTGGGGCGAGATAAAGTTCGCCGGGTCCGCTAGTAGTGTATATGAATAAGATAATTTACCCTAGAATTTAGTATATTTTATAAGTTAGGATTAGGCACATACACGCACACACCACACACACACCACACACACACTCACACACACAACTGTACATTTAGCGGGCATGAAGCCCAAAGATACTTTGCCCAAGAAGGACCAAATTAGATTTAAATTAAGACCGCAACGAACAAGCGTATACATTTTTCAAAGACGGACTGTAGCGACCGCGCTGAAGACATTTCCCCTCTCCGCTGCCGACGCAAGCCGACGCGAACAGCGGCAGAGGCAGCGACATTTCCCCTCCGACGATCGTGCGTGTTTACGTTTTGATCGTGTTTATTTACATGACGATCAAAACATAAACAAAAACAATAACAAAGCCGACGGCCGAAAGCTGCGCTGCCCGGACATTTTTGGCAGAGACTAGGCGACAATGGCTTTGCAATTTTCGACCGCGATCACTTCCCTGGCAGCGTCGAACGCGATCGTGACTTCTCTGGCAGCTGCGAACGCGATCGGTCGAACTTAGTCCCGCGATAAGTCCACCAGGGCCATTGTATTCGCTACTATATAGAAATTCAGCCCAATCAAACAGTTTCCTAAAGCTTGCACAAAAATATAACGGATGCTTTCCAATTACGTCATTTGGAGTCGAGGTTTTTCATCAATCAGGCTACAATCCAAGTTATAAGGTAATGGCGTCTCTTTATTATCAAAAATAACAACTCACATTTTTTCGAAATTGCATTCCAACATTCAGATTCATGGGCAAATTCACCACCGAGCGGGCGCTTTGTTATCACCACAAAACAAAGATCTTAAATTCCTTCAGATCTATTTCATTGGTGATTCGGCAGTTGAACTAAATCACCGCTGTGCAATTTTTACTGAAACTTAACGTGAAATTATCGAACAATTGCAAAATCCTCTCTATGAGCATAATGAATTCGTCAGATTGTTCAAAACTGCATTGGATATAATGCATTATGACGAACACAAAATCATTATCAGCGCTGACAAAAGACCCACTGGTAGCCATGCAAGACAATTTAACGCTCCCACTATCAATAAACACGCAGTGGTGATTGTTGGCGAGAATGTGGAATAACGCGATATTGTTTTTAACCGTCGGGATAATGGCCAAGTGCAGCGAGTTTATAAGACTCATCGGTCACATGATGCTCTTCAATATCCGTTAATGTTCTGTCGTGGAGAAGATGGGTATCACTTCAACATAAAGATGGTCAATCCAACGACAGGTTTGTTTACAAGTCATCACTTCTTTTTGATTCTACAACTAAGTTTGAATTCAAATTCTAGGAGAAGAAACGAATAAGAAGGTCAACTCTATGAATTTTGATGCGTATCGATTGATGATTCGACTAGATGTTGACAATCATCTGTTCAGATACCACCGTTTGTTTCAACAGTATTATGTCGACATGTACGTCAATCTAAAAACGGAACGTCTCAATTTTATTCGTTTTAATCAGTCGAACTTGCGGTCAGACGAGTACATTCACTTGCGTGACGCCATCGCTACTGAAGGACACGCGGCCAACATCGGTTGTTTGACCAATCTCCCAGCCACTTATGTTGGAAGTCCGCGCCATATGCAAGGGCAAATTTAAAGGAGAGGTAGTTCTTATCCCACGAATTCCTATTATTCCAACAGATCTTCCATTCCAATTCAAGACGATTCAGTTCCCAGTTCGATTGGCATTTGCGATGACCATCAATAAATCGCTAGGCCAATCGTTGGAAGTCTGCGGGATAAATCTAGAATATCAATGTTTTTCACATGGCCAGCTATACGTAGCCTGTTTGCGTGTGGGAAAGCCGTCATCATTATTTATTTTTACACCGGATAACAAAACAAAAAATATTGTTTATCAGATCGCTCTCCACAGATTTCAAGTCAAAAAAATTTGTCAATCCAACGACAGGTTTGTTTAAAAGTCATCACTTCTTTTTGATTCTCAACTAATTTTGAATTCAAATTTTAGCTTAAAATTTTTAGGAGAAGATAGGAATAAGGTCAGCTCTATGAATTTTGATGCGTATCGATTGATGATGTTTCAACAGTACTGTTTCGACATGTACGTCAAAGTAGAAACGGAATGTCTCAATTTAATTTGTTTTAATCAGTCGAAGTTGGGGCGAGATAAAGTTCGCCGGGTCCGCTAGTAGTGTATATGAATAAGATAATTTACCCTAGAATTTAGTATATTTTATAAGTTAGGATTAGGCACATACACGCACACACCACACACACACCACAAACACACTCACACACACAACTGTACATTTAGCGGGCATGAAGCCCAAAGATACTTTGCCCAAGAAGGACCAAATTAGATTTAAATTAAGACCGCAACGAACAAGCGTATACATTTTTCAAAGACGGACTGTAGCGACCGCGCTGAAGACATTTCCCCTCTTCGCTGCCGACGCAAGCCGACGCGAACAGCGGCAGAGGCAGCGACATTTCCCCTCCGACGATCGTGCGTGTTTACGTTTTGATCGTGTTTATTTACATGACGATCAAAACATAAACAAAAACAATAACAAAGCCGACGGCCGAAAGCTGCGCTGCCCGGACATTTTTGGCAGAGACTAGGCGACAATGGCTTTGCAATTTT